ACCTCTGGTGCAAATTACTGACCTCTGTCATCATTTTAAGTGGGGGAACTTGCACAATCGGTGGCTGACTAAATACTTTTTTGCCCCACTGTATATATTTATATTTCACGCAACTTAAAAGCTGCGGAGATGTAACGGATACACTAGACGAGTGATGCTTAAATTCTTCAGAGACCAGAATTAAATCAGTTCTTACATATTTATTTCTTCAGGGCCTGACCTCAAACCCTGCAGTCACTAAGTGTGCACCAGAAACCAGCCAGGAAACAGTAAGATTGCCCACACCACACCCAGAGCAGCTGTTGTTTCAATTTGTTCAAGAATGTGTAATTGCAGTAAGCTAAAAGTAGTAGTAACACTCTTCACTGTGTAGGTGGATCCAGAAGATGGTGTTTCCTACGCCTCCATCACCTATGCCAACAAGACCCACAATAAAAACAAAGTAATGTATATGATCAGAGTTTCAGCTTCATTGGTGCATTTATAAATGATGTTTTCACTGTGTTGTGTTACATCTGGTGAACTATCCTGTGCTCTGTGTGCTTCCAGATTCGGGGTAAAAATGACAGTGATGAAGGTGAGACAGTTACCTACGCCACTGTTAAAGCTTCCTCCACGGATGCCAGCAGCCTCTATGCTACCATCAAGTAAAGAAAAAGAGAACTTAAACATCAGATTGCTGCTTCTGTGAAAAAGCTTCTCATCTTTAAGAAAATTGGGTTTCCTCAATTTAAAAAGAGGAAGCAACAACTCAGCTGTGTGAGTCCCTGTAAATTGGCAGTAATTTATGAAAACGGATTTAAAAAAAAAAAGATATTAACGTGTATAATGATATAACCGTTTTGTCTTATTTCCGTTAATATTTAAAGGGGAAATTAAATGGAATCATGGGTTGGGTCAGGGATATAAGACTTACTAGAACAGAATAAATAATGTTGCATGGAGGACATTTAGGAATGCAGTGCAGGAGGACATGCAGGGGATTGGTGTGACAGAAGAGGATGCTTGGGATGGGGCGAGATGATTAAAAAAAGATAAAAAAAAAAAAAGAAGAAGTAAAATGACTGAATGAATGAAACTCTGAAAATCAAAAGGCCATATGAATCATGTCACCATAAGGAAGTAAGAAGGAAGTTACATGCACACATGAGTAACACTGCAGATAGATTAGGCCTTTCTGTTATTTTGGAGACATTTCCATGAGACACAATGAAATGAGCGGTATGTCTGTTTCAGCATGTTGTGATGCCACCTGCAGGTAAAATGGCATAATTTTTGTGGATTAATATTAATTTTTAATTTGGAATTCATAGGGGATATGTTTATCATCTGTCCTCATTATGCCTAAAATGAACACAGCAATATCAAATGTCTCAATTATTGCCTTAGTTGCTTTCTTTGTTGTTGAACAGCCTACAGAATGCACATTCACAGGGTCACTTATGATAGATCATGAAAATTAGTGACTATGGTCAGACTGTTTGGAATTCTATAGCCAATTATTATTTTATTCTATTATTTCTATTACTAAAATGTAATATTTAATATTAAAAGTCTCAGAATTAGCTTTAAAGTATGTTAGGGCTGCAGCTATCTTTCCATCAATTAATCGAGTGATCGGATAAGAAATGCTTTTGTTTTATTAATGGCCAATAATAATTTACTGTAAATTTACAACAATTTACAGTACTCTGTTTATAGTAACCATTGTCCATATGTAAATATGTAAGAAAAATTGTGTATGTTTCTGTTCTGTGTCCTGTGTACTGTTTGTTTGTATACGTGTCTTTCTGGCTGCTGTTACAACCAAATTTCCCCTTGTGGGACAATTAAAGGATTATTCTATTGTATTCTATTCTATTCTAATTATTCAAAAGAGAGAAAAACAGACATCTTTCAGAATAAACTGCTCATTGGCTTACATTTTAGAAAATGCAATGTTTTAAAGTTTAACTGCATACAAAGACCCTGCCAACAAAACCCTTTGATTTTTATATGCCATATTGAAATTGAAATTTTTAAAGAAAACATTGTATTAAATGCAAAAAATATATAAATAATATCAAGTAAATACACTGTCTACACTGAAGAGTCCTGAGTTTTGGGTCCTATTTCCCCACATCCCCACGGTCTGCCAGCGCAGTCCTTGACATAAACATATATCAGACTAAGTTAACTTAACAGTTCATCTAAATATTTTAATACAACTGCTGGAGGCTAACTGCTGATTTTACACAGTGTAAAATAAAGGGCGATGGATGGAGCACCTACACGGTTCCCTTTGGACGCTATACACACGTTTTTCACTCTGTTTGAGCTCACTGTCTCGGTAACGGCTCTTTGCTTTTGTCGGTGTGTAAACAGACTCCAGCTCCACGTTAAACTGTGGCCGCGTCATCATTAATGCTGCTGGTGTGTTCTCCGTGTTTCTGTTTAACACTCGTTTTATTCACATGCTCCTGAATACGTTTGTATTGCAACTGTGAGTTTAACGCCCACGTCTACATCTTTAACACACCGGCACACATAGCCGTGCATTACAGGAAGCATCAAAGCATAGAATTTTTCTACAATGTTTTATAATCAACTTTTTCGAATTAGTCGATAAATCCGTGCACCCTGAAGTTTGCTGCTATGTAGTATTTTTATTTTAGAATCAGTGATTGACATTGTTAATTTTATTTTCCTTTTTTCCTTAGAAGTTTGCATCTTTTATGTTTCAGTATTTATGTTTATGTTTTCTGAGTGTGTTTATGCATGTACAGTATGATCTCATGATTTTTGTTTTTCAATACGTTTTTTTAAATAAAATGTTTAAAAATGTAACTGTCAAGTATATGAAAATAAAACTATTAAATGTGATGATACACACGCTTTGTTGGGAGCCTTTATTTTGAAACTATCTTAACTGAACCGGATGTTTCTTCCTTTGCCCCCGAAGAGGTTTCCGCTGGTGTAATGTTGGAAGAGCTAGGGGGTTAACGGCTGATTTTTTCCTGCATTTTGGAAAAAATAACAACGACTGTGTGTTTGAGATCGACTTTATCTCAATACCGGAGTTAATGGTTGCTGTTCAGTAAGTTTATAACACAGATTAAAGCGAGAAAAGAGACATTAATTAGCTTCGAGCTAACGATTAGTCGAGGCGTCAAAATATCCGCGACACCAGCGGCTGTAAACAACACAGCCGAGCTAGCTGTTTATTCACATCGTATTTTCACTGCTGTCGTTTTACTTTGCTGACTGAGTGTTTTTAACGTACACTTTAAAAATATGAGATTTGACGTCAGCGGTGTTTGATTACAGAAGCCATTTTCCTTCAGTGCATTCCAGTTAGCATTTACCTTCAGCTAACATAAGGTAAAAAATTTCCGTCACTGCCTGTTTTGCTTTCGTTTTAACGTGTGCATTCCTGTGCCAGATGTAACTCTGACAGCCGTCGACCATGAGCAACAGTCACCCTCTGCGTCCACTGGCCTCCGTGTCGGAAATCGACCACATCCACCTGCTGTCGGAGCAGCTCGGAGCCCTGGTGCTCGGAGAGGAGTACAGCGATGTCACCTTCATCGTGGAGGGAAAGCGCTTCCCAGCGCACAGGGTCATCCTGGCAGCTCGCTGTCACTACTTCAGGTAAAGTTAAATGCCTCTTAGCCAGAGGTTGGCGCCTTTTTTAATTCCAGTCCTGAAACACCTGATAGTGAGTAACATAAATACTAATTTTAACCGAAAAAAACTCACGTTACGATGACAAACTGGCAATTTTTTAAAAAAGAAAAGAAAAAAAAAGACAGCGCAGTGTTGTTTCACCCTGTTGATCATTTTACAACACAAAGTTTTTTCAAACTCCTAGTTGGAAAAAAATATCTTTATTTTTTTTAAAATGACTAAATTATTCAAAAGCTTCCTTTCCCAAATCTGTCTAATACAAAATATACCTTTTTTAATCCTCTGTAGCATCACTTTATTTTTGCTTTTCCACCTTGTATAAGGTGTGAAATATGTTTTCCACTGAACAATGCCTGTTCAACAGTGGTTGATTGTCCAAGTCATCTTTCTTGGGGCCTCACTGGCATCTTTTTCCATGTTTTTGTGGTCCTTGTGATCTTATTGGCACTGTGCATGGTGGGACTGTGGTCTGGGTGTAGCATAACATACTCCACTCCCGATTGTCACTTTGATCTTTTACTAGTTCCACAACTCATTCCTGTTTTTTAACTAGAGACCTTATGTTCCCTACTGCCATCGAATCCTGCTGGTGTAAAGGACTATCTAATCTGTCTAAAGTGCATCTCATTCAATGAGCAGAATTTAGATCTTTTGTTTTTTGCATGGTTTTATTCGGGGCAAAAAATAATAAAAAACAAAAATGTAAACTTTTGCATATTCTGCCTCCTTTTAGGGCCCTGCTATACGGTGGGATGAAAGAGTCACAACCGCAGGCGGAGGTGTGTTTGGAGGAGACTCGGGCTGAAGCCTTTTCAATGCTGTTGAACTACCTGTACACGGGCCGGGCCAGCCTCAGTTCTGCCCGGGAAGAGGTGCTACTGGACTTCCTGGGCTTGGCTCACCGCTACGGGCTCCAGCCTTTGGAGGATTCCACATCTGACTTCCTCCGCACCATCCTGCATACCAACAATGTCTGTCTGGTGTTTGACGTGGCCAGCTTGTACTCTCTGAGCGCGCTCACTGCAGCCTGCTGTACTTACATGGACAGACACGCACCTGAAGTGCTAAATTCTGAAGGTTTCCTCACGCTCTCCAAGGTAAGAGTGATGGAAGAAGAATTGTAGTAGGTTTTGGTATTATTTCATTCTTGTGTTAGTCTTTATTTCTGTTAAAAATGTAGATGCAGTGACCTCTAGTGGTAGTTAGCAGAAGCTACAAAAGACAGTCAACACTGCTCAGCAAATGGCAACTGTTATCTAAGCAGGACTTCTGCATAGGTTAAAAATGTATTTTTATAGATATCTGAAAGGTATACATAAGTGATCTTAAATGAATTATTAATTTTTAATTGTGATTTATTATTTTGGTATGGATCCAAGTCTTGTATCAGTCATCTATCAGTAATAAAATATTAAGTGAAAAGTGTTGTCACTTTCACATAAAAACAGCTATATATGTTATATGCAGGGATAACAATGAAGTGTGTGTGGCTGAGAAAAGTAAAATCAAATAAGTTATCAGTTAAAAAAAGGATTTTATTAAAGGCTTAAACCTTTTTTTTTTTTAACCCTAAAGAGACATTTAGACTCCTGCGTCCATCAGAACCCTAAAACAGAAGAAAGTTGCAGTCCTGAAAATCAGTGTTATTAAAACCATTCACATAATAAATAATCAAAGGGCTTCTGATCTTCCTGGTTTTTGTTCTTTGACCAGTCTAATTGTAAAATGAGTACTAAGCTGCCTTCTATCTGTTTTTAACCATCTTGTATTTTAGTTTGAAGAAAAAAAAAACTATATTCATTAATTTTATTATATTATTCTGCCACACTTTGTTCTCTTTTACACAGTGATGTCATAATTTAGCCCAGAAAGGTCACACATGATGGTGAATTACCCCCTCGAATCTTCTTAAAGGCAGTTAGGTTTTAATTTAGTTACTTTTTTACAGATTAAATTTTAAAAAGCCATTACAGTAATATAAAATGTGGTTAAACAAGATAAGCTATAAGCACTACATTTTGTGAATTTTCTGGTGTGTTTTCCTTCCCTTGAATAATTTATTACCTGTGTCTGCAGAATGCTTTGCTGACTGTGGTCAGGAGGGACTCATTTGCTGCCAGTGAGAAGGAGATCTTCCAAGCGTTGTGCCGCTGGTGCCGGCAGCATGAGGATGGCGAGCACACTTACGAGGTGATGTCTGCAGTGCGGCTGCCCCTCATGACTCTGACCGAGATGCTGAATGTGGTGCGACCGTCTAGCCTCGTGAGCCCAGATGACCTGCTGGACGCCATTAAGGCCCGGTCTGAAAGCCGCAATATGGACCTCAACTACCGGGGAATGCTCAGTCAGTCTTCTTTGTCCT